GCCACGCCCAGCGCTGCGCCAGGGTGTCCATTCCAGGATGCGTCCTGTGGCGGCAACAGTCGCGTGCCGTGGCACTCCAGGCTTCTGGGACTTGTCGCAGCAATCCCTTCGGCGTGCACTGGCGCCCTGCCCGTGGGCGACTGCAGCGACCTTTCACAGGCAGAGGCAATGGCGGTGAGTCATCAGAAAGGGCGCGGTCGCTGTCTTCCCAGGGTGCGCCTAGGCCCGTCACCCACACAAGGCGTGCCCAGAATTGTTGTAGACCCGGTTGCTTGCGTCCGGGCCTATGCCCATGTCGCGCAGGAAGCCCAAGGGTGACCATGCCTTACGGTCCAGCTTGCCAGGGTCCCTAGGGGTCTCGGCTAGGGAGAACTCGTGCGGGTGGAGTCCTGAGACCAAGCAGAGCACAACTGCGAACGCTGGTGTGGAGAGGAGGTTGTCCATACAATCGGTGATGGACCTTCCCAAGGCGTCCCAGCTGAAGTCGGGCTGGAGCGGCGTCTCGACTCTGGCGGCGAAGCTATTGGCCAGGGATTTACGTGCTCGCTGGATGGCGATGTCGATCTCCTTCGTCGCATTATCCCCATCCACGCTGCCCTTCCAGGATTCGGGCGTGCTGACCCAGGTGGCAAGGTCTTGCACTGGATCAAAGCTGGGGTCCAGGGCCAGGAGTTGCCTGTTGCCTGATGCCTGCTCCTTCTGGAACCTGACCCAGAGGCTGGCAAGCCTCCCGTACTCTGAAAGGACCCGAAGCCTGGACCATGTGGCGTTTGCGAACATCCTCCCGTCTCCGATGACCACCGCGAATCGGGTTGCTCTGGTGATCGCGACGTTGACCCTGTTGGCATCGTCGATGAAACACTAGATGTGCCCTCCGTTGGACCTGGTCGCCAGGAAGATCACGATATCGGCCTCGCCACCCTGGCTGGAGTCAATCGTGGAGAGCTTCAGGGTGCCTTTCTTGAGGTGCGCGGAGGCAATCTGCCGTAAGCCAGGGAAGCGCAAGCTGATGCCAGTCCAGCCCTTGTCGGGCTGGTCGAAGACTCGCTCCCGTCCGGCGGTGTCTACGGGTCGGTTTTCGGCTTCGCCCGGTCCCGTCCCGCGTGCTGGTCGGCGGCTGCGATCGCCCCTGGGGTCATCTCTCCCTTTGCCCTTTCCGCCCTTCGGCTTGCCTTTCCCGCCCCGGGCGCTGCGCAGGGCACCTGAGATGTTGCCTGGGCCATGCGGCCAACTGTCTTCCAGGATCGCTGTCTGCAGGTGGTAACCGACTACCGGGCGCACCTTTGCCCCGTCGTCGAGGGCATGCAGGAGGGCGCGAACAATGTCGACTGCATGCGCCGCCTCTGGCAGTTTGGCGTAGCCGGCATGTGAACTGGAGGTGACTTCCAGGGAAGGATTATCGACCAGGAGGAAGCGGTGCCTGTCGCCTGGGTCTGCGCTGGAAGGGCGCAGCGGGGCGAGGGTCTTCTCCAGGTCGCCTTTCTCAGAGTTTGTGAGCTTGGCCAGTTCGTCTAGTCTTGTGCCGTCCCAGGCGCGGATCGGGCGCCATGGGAGACCTTCGACCAAGGGCCGATCTGCCAGCGGGTTGGTGAGGCCGCTGACCATGCAGCTGTGGTAGAAAGCCCAGTTCGGCCAGGCCAGGATCTGCGGGTGCATCCTACAGCGCGCGGTGAGCTGCGCGACTGCGGCGTCGTCCTCGCAGGGCGTGGTGCAGTCGGTCGAAGATGCTGACGCAGAGCCCCAGGTCGGTGGCCAGCTTGGAGATAACGGTAGGAAGAAGCTGCTTCGGGTCACCTACCAGGACCAGGTGGCCTCCGCTGCGGATCACGTTGACCAGGGACACGGTGGAGTGAAGTTCGGTGGTCTGCCCAGCTTCGTCGATCACCAAGAGCGTTAGCTGGTTCGGGCACCCACCCAGTGCTTCCGCTGCCTCGTGCGTGGAGATGATCACCTTTGCTTTGTTGATGAGCTCCGATCGGAACGGCGGGAAGTCAGGCGAGTTGCCTCCTTCGGTGTATGGGAAGCCCCCTGTGGCCTTCGGCCTTCTGGACGTGCCCCTCCGGGGTGGGGCCGATCAGCTCTTCGTCGACCTTCTCCTTTCTAGCCGGGCGCACGAAGCGGTCTGGGAAGCAGGTGTCTGGGTCGAGCTGGGGGGCGCGGTGCGCGGCAGCCATGGCGAGGGCTGGCTGGTCAGCTGCGGTGTTCGACCCCGCGGCGAGCGCAACCGCCTGCCCGCGCATGAGTGTGCCGCCCCAGATGTCGAGCGTCGCGGTGGTCAGCTTGGTCTTGCCTGTGCCAGGAGGGCCGTGGACGACAGTGACGTGGTGCATCGCGGTGGCCTGGAGCGCCCGCCTGACGTCTGCGTTGAGGCCGTGTCGGTCTGCGCATCGATCCTGGGTCTCTTGCGAGGGCATCCTCCTCGCCCTCTGGAAAAGCTGGCCCACTGCGGAGCCTACTTTATCGACTGAGAAGGCGGGGGCAGCCAGGGGCTGCGGGGGCACGTGCCGGGTCATGCCAGGAGCCTGAAGGGCTTCGATGTCAGCGTCTGGGACAGGGTGCTCAAGCGTGGCAGAGGCTCTCGCCCGAAGGTAGTGCCCGACCCTGCCGGTTCTAACGGCGTCGTTGGCTCCAGCCTTGTCCTCCTTGGGCGCGGTGCGGAAGGTGAGCAGGTAGGTGATGTTGGGCAGGGGGGGCCCGAAAAGGTCACCAGGATGCTGGTTCAGGAAGTAGGTGTCGTTGAGGGCGGTCGACCAGTGCTGCACTTCCGAGGGGGCTCTGTCCACTCTGTGCCAGGCGTCCCCTTCTTGGTCTGGCCGGGGCGCCTTGGTGGTGTCGTCGTGGAACGAGCCTTGCCTGCCGTGGTTGTGCAACACTATGCGCCTGTTCGATGGGTACTTGGCATCGTGGGGGAGCCTGAGGGCCTCGCGCTCCCGTGGCGCTACATTCCCCCCCAGGACTGGCGGCCACCAAAGCGTCACCTCGGCCACCTGATCGACCATGGGGCCCTGCACCGAAACCAGCAGGCTCTTGGCGTCCTGCGCGCCTCCCTCGCCCTTCATGCTGATGCGAAGCTTGGGCGACCTTTCCAGGAGGAGGAGCTCCTTGCTGTCCACAAGCTGTAGCGTAAGGCGAAACGGTCCAGGTCACTGCAACTGCTGCGGGAATGTAGTTTGCTGATCCGGACCCCCAGGGCGACGTTGCCCTTTCTCGCAAGCTCCGCTCTAGCCTTCGGGGCGCCGTCGTCGGGCGTTTCCAGGGCGGCACGTCCCTCGATCCAGGCAGTGCGCTTCAGCGTGAAGCCTCGGCCCCGCAAGATGCAAGGCCACTGGGATGGGAGATTCACAGCGTCAACCAACTCCCCAAGCGGGACGGCGGGGTGCACTCGGGCTTTGCTCAGGCCACTGGGGAACGAGAGTATGCCCTGGACTTCGATCGCTGCGGTGAGGGCCGGAGATTCGAGCACGGCTCTACTGCCAGGATCGGGTGCAGGAGGGCTGTCGTCGTCGTCGTCGGCTAGCCTGACGGTGCGAGTTTGCTGCTGCGGCTGGGCCCAGGCAGCTTGGGAGCGTCGCCCCCCGTTGCTGGAGGCGGTGGCGCCGTCTGAACGGGGCCCGAGCGCGATAGGCGGACCCGCGGGCTGCGGAGGCATGGTGTCCAGAAGTGGACTTTGCCAGGGCGGCGGCCCTCTCATCCTTGTCAGACTTCCTTCGCCTGGGCGCACGATACCTTGTACGATGAGCCTGGCGGCTTCGTGGGCCGAGAGCGGGGTGCAGTCCAGGTTCACGCAGTAGCGGTACGAAACCTGGTGGAGGGAGCCGGCAGACTAGCCTCTGGTGGTCCCCGCGGGTGCAAATTGCGTGGGCCAGGGCTGGTGGGGATACTTTTTTTGGTCGGCGGCTCCCAGGCAACGGACAGGGAGCGGATGCGGCGTCCGGGTCACGGTGCGGGGCGAATTTGCAAGACAATTGCCGCCAGCTGGTGGGGATATTTTTTTTATTGGCGGCTCGAAGGACAGATCCAGCGAGCGGGAATATATCGTCTGGGGCACAGAGCGAGATAATTGGCTGCAGAGGCGCATAGGCCGCTGTAGCGAGTGCACATGCCAGGGACAAAATGACCCTCATTGGGGGCTGACGCAGGCGGCCCGACAGATGGGGACGCAAGCACAGAACCGGAAGCGGACGGAAAGGAGCTGTCGCACACGTGGCGCCAAGCTCCGACCGTACCGTACAAGCTGGTGGAGATACGCGAAGCGTCAAGAATCGATTGATGGTTCAGGCGGCGGAGGACGATGCCGCTTGATGGAGGGAGGCAGGGAAGAGGCATCCTTGTCCCCTCTTGTCCCTTCTTCCCCTTAATGGCAATCCCACCCTTCTCCTCAAACTCGGGTGGTAGAGCAAATTCCACACACACACGACGCATAACTCGACATTACCACGCGACCAGTACCATGCGTTGACAACAAACATGCCTACTCATTGTGACGCAACAGTGGTTCTCCCCCACCCCACACACACTCGCCTCGGTCGTTCATGTGACTCACGCGTAGTAGCCAAGACACATTCCACGACACTGGCGCATTTGTGGTGAACGCCCGTCGTGCAATGCCACTGCGAGCTTAAACTTCTCACTCGGTCTTCGTTCCTAGCACTTTGTAGCCCAATCGGTGCTGATCTGTAGCGATATGCAATTCGCAACACAACCACTTACTTCACCAATTTCTCGGTAATATGCAATTCGCAACACAACCACTTCACCAACTGTTCCGCTGCCAAAAATTAATCAGACTGGCGTTTCAGCTTGAATGATTCGGGTGCGCAAGTGAAGTATGAACTGTAGCCTGAGAGAGATCATTGAGATCCATACGAATGGTTGCGCTAGCGCCCTGGAGCTCGAATCTGTAATGCAGACAAAGAGGCAGGCGTGATAATGAACTAATGCAAGGGGGAGGAGGACGATCATGAGGGCGAGGCAGGATGACGATGACGAGGACGGGCCGCCTGTTCGTTTGCGCTCTTCTCCTCAGTGCGCAGCTTCATGCCCTCCGACTGCTGAGCCGATATCTCCGCGATAGCGTCACTGAGCTGGGTGATCTGGGGTGGCGCGGGCTGAAGAAACCCACCCTCCCTCAATCCTCTCCCTACCTAGCTCCTTCTCTTCCCTCCCATCCCATCCCTTCCTTCCGACGCTCTCCTCTCGTCCCCTCCTTCTCTTCCTCATTATCGTTTCCTCGATGTCCAGTGACTGGAACAAGCAACGACAGCCACAAAACTACAAGATGGCCATCGTGACCTCAAACGACAAGTTTTTGCACATTCGGTGTGGAGCGGGCGTGATGCAACATGTGTTCCGCAACTTCAGGCAACACCAATGCGGGCATCAGGGCGAGAATGAGACATTGCAACACCTCTACCATCATCGATCACCAGTCAAGAGTCTGACTACCTACCAGACCACCACAACCCAACCCGAAGACCCCAATGTCGGGTTGGGGGGGTACGGGTATCATATGTGTTTTTTTATTGTTCCCCGACCCCCGCCACAGGAAATGGAGGGCAAATTGAAGCCTTCGGGTTGGGTTGGGGTGGTTTGGTGGGCGGCGAGAGTCGCAACAACCATCGCATAATTCGCCGGCCCAAGGGGCCAGAGGCATGCTAAGATCTCCGGTAACTGCATATAGTATTTCTACTTCGCGCGCGCGCGCGGAGCGGCCCTTGGGGGTCCCCGGACGAAAAATACCCCGGGCGGTCCCCGGCTGGTTCGGGTCAGAGATCCCCGGCTGGGTCGGTCGGGTGGGCGCCGCCCTCGAGGCCCCCAAGATGGAACAAGAAGGCTCCGAGATGCCACAAGATCACTCCAAAATGCCCAAGATTGCCCCCAGACGCCCCAAGAAGCTTCCAAAAGCACTCCCAAGAGGGCCCCAAGAGGTAAAATTCACTGATTTTCCAAAAGGTTTTGGACAGGTTTGGGCGTTTCCCCCTGTTCGGCTTCCCGACACCTTAAGACGGCCCAAGAGGTCCCCAAGATCGCCCCAAGAGGGTCCAAGAAGGCCCCAAGAGAGCCCCAAGACGGCCCAGGAGGGCTCCAGGACCGCCCCAGACGACTCCAAGACGGCCCAAGAACGCCCCAAGAGAGGCCCCAGAGGGGGAACACGAAACAACATTTTGAGCCCTCGGCCACAAGCAGCCCCCAGAAGGTCCCCAGAGGTCCCTAAGAGGCCCCCAACAGGCGGTCAGGAGGCCGCCAAGAGGCCCCCAAGAGCCCCAAAAAGGCTCCAGGTTAAGGCGTCCCCGAAAGCCTCGGATAACTCCCAAGAGCTTCCTGTGCACTGCCTCCCGGTGCGCGAGATGGGCCGGCGGAATGAGCGAAGCGGTTCGATAAAACACCAGCGTCGAGTTCTGTCTTTAAGGCACGAGTGCAACCGAGGACTCGCCAGAATTGAGACACAACCGCGCGTGAGCCATAGTGCATCGCCCATAGGGCACCAGGGCGAACACCCAATGCGAAACAGATGAGGCATCATGCAATCCCAACCGTAAACCACCACTCATAAAACACCAAGACAACGCCGATACCTCGACACCATTCGCGCATACACAGGGCACCGCCATGGAGCACCCCCCCCGTACAATACCGAACAAGAATAGCTATACCACACATTTTGGCTCAAATGATCGCACGGGTGTCGCCGTTGTCGGGGGTGGTCCCTTCCGGAGGAGCACCAGGTCCGACGATGGCGGCGCCTACAGGAGCCAGAGGCCGCTGTCCTGGTGGACGCGGCCGGCCGCGCGGCGCAAGGCGTTGAAGCGCCTCGGCGCACCCTGGGCGCCGCCGCGCGTGCGGCGGTGGACGCGCGGCCGTTGCATGGTGACCGCCCGTTGCGGCGGCTGATCCAGGGGATGAGAATCCTGGCGACCGCGAAAGCAGGAAGGCGACGATGTGGGCGAAGCGAAAGCGGCGGCGTCGTCGTCGTCGTCGTGCGCGCCTTCCTGGACTTCGTGCCCTGGAACGCGGGGTTGCGTCGGCGGCTGCGGATGGGGAGGCGCTGGCGGCGGTCGCGCCCATGGCACTCGACGAGCCCGACGTTGCTCACTCGTCCGACGCTTTCGACAACCTCTGCGACGCCTGGGCTGGCGTTCCGCTGTTGCGGCGGCGCGGCGGCGGCGGGCTGCGGCTGTGCTCGCTGCGGCGGAGCTGGCGGAGGCGCCCGCGGGAGCGGCGCCTGGTGCTGGCGGGGCTGCAGCGTCTGCGGCTGCCTTCGAGGAGTGCTTCGATCGAGGGCAGAGAATCCACCCCGATAGTAACCACCCCGACACGCGAAGCCGTCTAGTAAACGCACCCAAGGAAGGAATCAAACAGGGCAGGGCTGTTTAATAAACGCCCAGGGCCGTTTAGTAAACGCCAATTGTCCAGTCTGGGTGGTTTTTCCTCCTTCGATTCGAGCTCGCGCAGGGCCTCCTCAGGCGCGCCGAGGCTTGCGAGCCGCGGCGGCGCGACGAGGGGGGTGCGGCGCCTGCTGGAGGCGGCCCCTGGGGGCAGCCCGAGCCCCTGCCAGGTCGACGTGGTGCTGCGGCGGAGCCAGGCCTCGCAAAATCCTGCAAGCTCCTGCGCCCAAGCCCGGGCCCATGCGCAGGATCCTGCAGGATCCTGCGCCCAGACCCGGGTCAGTGCGGCCCTGGCCCTGCAGGATCCTGCGAGATCCGGCTGACGCCCGTTTGCCTCGACCCCCGTCTCAAGGCTCCCGGCGACCCCGCCGCTCGCACATGCCGTTGTCGACCCTGCGTTTCGAAGTCTTTGGCGGCGACGGGGGCCTCGGCACACTCGGTGGGCCCCGCGGGCTCGCTGTGCGGTCGGTGCCGAGGAGCGGAGCAGGGCGCGCGCGGCGCGCCGAGCTGCACCTCGAAGAGAAACAGCGCGAACTCACAACCACTAAGGCTTCATAGGGCGCCAATGACATCCACCACCGTGCCTCGAGGCACGAGGTGGAGTTACCCCCAGGCTATCATGTGGTCTCTGTTCTCTGTGCTCAGGACTGGGGGATTCTAGTACTCTATGGGCTGGGGCCCCAGAGTCTCAAAGTTCCTGGGCGCTCCCGCGCGCTCCTGGGCTGCCTCGCGTGACTTTTCCAAAGGCGAGGGGGCCCCAAGACGGGTCCAGAGGTCTGATTACTAGAGCTCGTCCTCAAGGTCGCTCACGCTGGTGACGATGAGGAAGAGCAAGAGAAAGTATGTGTCGATGTCAATTATCGTGATAATTGTCAGTGAACACCTTTTGTCCACGATATGAACGGCCGCGCAGTAGTGTGCGCGGTCTGCCTGGCACAGCCAGGCTCTGTCAGAAAGAGTCCCGCCCTCCCTCGCCTTGAGCCGAGGGTGGCGGTGGAACGGACAGGGCAGACGGGCAGGAGACAGCTGCTGCTCAAGCTTACTCCTGCGTATCTTTCAGACAGGGGGAAAAAGGTTCTGCCCTGTACCGTGCGCGCAGGCAATCTCTGCGCTCCGTGCGTGCTGCTGGACGAACTTCTGATGGGCCTCGATCTCCTGCTGCAACTTCTGGATCATGATCAGGGATTCGGAGGCCGAGAACCCAGTAGAGGTCGTCGAGCTGGAAGGGTTCCCTTCCATGCTGGCTGGTGGTTGTGCCTGGCGGGCCAACCTACGCTCCTCGAGTACCTGACGAGCTGAGGCCGGGTCGGTCGGGTCCGTCTCGTCGAAGATGCCCTTGCCAAGAGCTGCCCGCTTGCGAGCGCTCATGAACTGCTCGTCGTAGATGAGGCGCCACTGCTGCTTCTCGAGGAAGGCCCGGACCACTCCGAATGCCTGCCAGCTTGCCTTGGTTAGGCCGTCGGCGATCTGTGCGTGTGAGTGAACCCAGCGCACGACCGTTTGACCCTCGTCCAAGGCATTGCGGAGAGCCAAAGCCTCGATGGCTGTCCTCCGCTCTTCCAGTCCCAGTCCCGCCGACTGAGATCGCACCACGCCGTCGTAGAAGGCCTTGCAGTCCGTCACCAGGATGGCTGGTAATCGTCGTAGTGCTGCTGCGGTATCTTGCAGTGGAGACATATTGTGTAGAAGTTCGGCAAGTACCAGTCGCACCATGCTCTGTTCGCCTTCGGCGTCGCCGGCTTCCTGCACCTCCGCCGCCAGGCTTGACCGAGCCACGCGGCGCAGCTTCTTGGAGCCCCAGTCGAGGACCGTGAACTCGGAGAGCTTCCCGTCCATGGCCGCCTTGGAGGAGATAGCGGTGATATGACCACCCTGGGAGTGTCCATCCGGGCGGCTGGCCCAGGCTGCGTCGCACCAGGTGAAGATGGCGAGGTCGTCCAGGGCGTGCCGGTAGATCCTGATCCCCATGTGGCGGCTCTGCTTGACGAGCTTGACGATGTTGTTAGCGGCCGTGAAGAGGTTGTGAGTACCTGCTGGTATCTTCATCTGGAGGTCGGCTACCCACGATAAGAGAAATGGCATGGTATTCACGCCAAGCCAGTAGATCTCGCCGCAGAACGCCCTGAGCACCGTCTTGTCAGAGTCCTTGAGGCTGTCGGTGGTCCGATGCTTACTGCCGCTGGCCGCCTTGACCTCCTTGATCTTGTCGATGTACGACTTCTGGTGGAGGAAGAAGCCCTGCTCGCTCTCCTCGATGGTGACGCCGCACTGTTCGAGAGAGGTGAGCCCGTCATTCATGTCCTCCCAGGTGCCCCACTTGTAGAGCCCTCGGATCTGCTTGACCATGTCCTGCCACTCAGGGTGGGAGGTATCTCCTGCCATGATGAAGTCGTCGACGTGGGCCATGATCATACCGATGAGCATACCCGCCCTGGAACATCGTGCTTTCCAGAGGCAGGGCTCCAACTCGCAGGCTTGGAGTCGAAGTTTCGCAAAGTCGTGCTTGACCGTCTCCCACCAGTGCCGGGGCGCCTCGCCGATCCCATATCCAGGTTTCACGACCTGGAGGATTTCCCCTTCCTGCGCGTGGAAGGCCTTTCTGAGGACGGCGTCTGGCTCGATGAAGAGGTCCTTGTCGAGGTCGTGGGCCTGCAGAAAGGCGGAGGTGACGTCGCCCTTGATGAGCTTCCAGCGGTTCGCGGCGGCCA